GGATGTGGCCCTTGGTGCCATGATCTAGTTGAGGTGTTAGAACATGGGTTGGACTCGATGATCTTAAAGGTCTCTTCCAACCTAGAAATTCTGTGATTCTGTAAACATTGATTATCTGCTGTGGAATGCAACAGGTGCATCTGTGATTGGCCCACGTTGGTTGTTTTTAATTAATGCCCAATCACAGTGAGCTGGCTCGGACAGAGAGCCGAGCCACAAACCTTTGTTATCACTCTTTGCTATTCTATTCTTAGCCAGCCTTCTGATGAAACTCTTTCTTCTATTCTTTTAGTATAGTTTTAATGTAATATATATGATAAAAACAAAAGAATAAATCTTTTAGTATAGTTCTAATGTACTATATATGATAAAATAATATACTATTCTTTTAGTATAGTTCTAATGTAATATATATGATAAAATAATAAATAATAAAAATCAAGCCTTCTGAAACATGGAGTCAGATCCTCGTCTCTTCCCTCATCCGAGCACCCCTGTGAACACCATCAGAGTCCCCCAGGACCCCCTGAGCCCCTCACTGACCTCCTCCCCCTTGGGGATGCGCCGGCTGGAGATGATGATGATCTTGTCCTCCTTGTCGAAGGTCACGACTTCGGCCACGCAGTTCGGGGCACACGAGTGGTTGATGTACCTGGGGGACGATCATGGTCAGCACGGAGCCAGGGGCAGGACAGACGGACGTCGTGGCTCCCTCTGGGGGTATCCCAGCACCCCAAACCCCCCCTGTGCTCACCTGGCCGGGCCCCCCGTCAGCGTGGCGTCAATGACGTGCTCGTTGTTGATGCGGAACATGTAAATGCCGCGGTTCTGCCGTGGAGGAGAAGAGGGGGGTTCAGGGGTGCACTGAGGTCCCCACATCCCACCTGAGTTGATTTCCACCATCCCATGTTCCACTGGAGACCCTCAAATTCCATATGAGTTCTCCACACCCCCCCGAGTGGCTCCATGTCCTACCAGAGCTCCCAAAATCTCACCTCAGACCCTACCAGATCCCTTGATAACCCTCTCAAGTCCCTCCACGGCCTGAGTCCCCACATGTCCTGCCAGAGCCTTCAACATCCCCCCCAAATTCACTCTCATCCCACACAAGTCCCCAACATCCC